CCCGCCTCTCGGCCCCGCCCGGGGGGGGGCAGCAGCGCAGGTGAAGTGGCGCCCGGGGAGCCTTGGGCCTGGTGCTGACCCCCACGTGGCTTTGTGAGTGCGGGGAGCAAGGGCGGGGAGGCAAGGGGTGAAACCCCGCTTGCCCCAGGAGCCGGAGGGCGGCGGGCTGGACGGTAAGGGATGCGGCGGGGGCGGGTGAGTGTCCCTGTCCCCACGCGCCTGGCTGGGGGGACGGCAGAGGCAGGCTGTGGGGACTTGGCACCCTGTGACCCCCTGCCCCTGTGCCAGGTGCTGGAGCCGGAGCAGCCCGGGGGGGTGGGAGGGCGCATGGGCCCAGGATGTGCTTGGACGCGGTCCCTCTGCTTGGCCTTTCACTTGGGCGGGCGTGGGCTCCTCCTGGCAGTGGCACCCCTATAAAGGGCGGATTAGTGAGAGCTGCCTCGGCCTTGACGCCTCTTGCCTGGCAGCCTGCCCTGTGGAGATGCAGGGGAGAGGTGGCAGCTGCGCCGGCACAGCTCTGTCCCAAGCAGCTTCTCTTCCCGCTGTGGGCAGAGCAAGGGCACAACTGAGTGCTGAGCCCAGGAGAACCCGCTCCCCCTTTCCAGCCTGCTGGAGGTGCCTCAGGGGGCATGTGATATGGGAGTGCCAGCGCCTGTTTGCAAGGCTTGTTGTCCTGTCAGTCTCCTGGCGCTGTCCCAGTGTACCCGCCCTGCTGGAGCCATGCTGATGTCCACCAGCAACCCTTCCCCCACCACTGCTCTTAGCCCTGACCGTCGGCATCCCTGGCAGGATTCGCTTGGCTGGGCAGAGACTGCAGTGTCACGCTGAGCTCCTAGGTGACTTTGAGAGGTGCCTGACTCCAATCTGTCCAGCACGTTGTTGCTTAGGGCATGAGACTGTGTTTGAATCTCCAGGAGCAAAAAAGCCTTTGCTCAGCCCTTCTGTTGTTCCCCATCCCTCGCCCAGGATAGGATGCCACAGGCGGACCCTTGCCCTTGTCCTGAGCTGCTGCCTCTCCAGCTTTGCCAGCCCACACAGCTCTCAGGTGTGGCTAGCCATTTGCCTGTAATCCTCTAGGCACCAAATTCCAATGATGTTTTTTTTGGGGGGGGGAGTGGGAGCTGAATCCATGCATCCAGATCCTCCTCAAGGCCCTTTCCTCCTCTCCTGTCCCCCTGCAGTGTTTCCCTCCCTGTCATCAAGAGTGTGTACATGTGTGGACACGTTTTCCCAGTCCCGGGCAGGCCCCCTGGTACCAGGACTGGCCGGGACCTCGGAGTTCTCTCATGTTGCATCTCTTCTCTTCCTGCTGCTCTCCCAGGTCCTTTGGTGAGGGGTGATTGTACCTCCTCCATCATGTCTCAACGCAGCCGGCGCCTCAGGGCCACCCGCTATGACCAGGGTGATGAGGATGGTACTGGCAGCAGCAGTGGTGTATCCTCACTCTTGGGTGGCCAGCAGGTCCCCTTTAAGGACAGTACCACCAGGTGAGTGTGAGCAGGCTGGGAGGGGGAAGCTATATACCTCACTGGCACCTGTAGTTTCTCAGCAGCTTAGCTTGGAGGTAGGGGAGGAGCTTTCCCTAATGGGAATACTCCTTCCCAGTTTGCAGCTTGGCTAGCAGTCACTGAGGGTCTGTCTCTTGAGTACTCCACATGTGCCCTTGCCAGGGAAGGGCAATATGATCAGCCCAGGCCACTACATCTGTTGGTAGCATAGAGGAGCTCCTACTAACTCCATGGCTTCATAAGTCTGTTTTCTTCTTTGCAAAACCCTCCCATGGCGGCAGTGGGTAACCCTGTGTGCCCCCCTGTTCTCATTCCTCCTCAGTGGGAGTGCAGCCTTTCTGCCTATTGCATGCACTTCACCATTCCCAGGCCATTGCCCCTGACACTGCTGGGGGGAGCTCTGTGATGATCCACACCAGAACATGAAGACCAGTTCTGCATGTTACTAAAGCCTGTAATGCAAAGACCTGAGTCTTCACACCTATACTTAGGGGTCTCCTGGGGCAGGGGAGCATGTGTGTATATCTAAAAGGAAGCCCACCCAGCTTATCAGCCTCTCCTAGTCACAGACACCTGCAGGAAACCACAGCAGCTACAGAGGAAGGAAACGGGAAGTAAAGATGGGGGTAGTAGGCAGGGCGATGGCATGGTAGAGCCTGTGATTGGCCAGAGGTGGATATGTGCGTGTGTGGGTGGGGAAATTGCTGCTCCCCTGACTCATATTTTGCAAGGAGGTATGGTAGCAACTTGCTTTGTTTAAAATATGCCACTGCTGTAGAGCACCAGAGGACCAAGCCTCTCCTTGGTACTCCTCCATGCTGGAGTGGGCTGGAACAGGTCAAGGCCCCAGGAAGTGTGAACCCTGATAGGAGAGCAAGGCTGGCCCCATCTCTCCCCTTCACATTGCACCTGGCTTGTAGATTCACCCTCGTTTTCTTGCCTCCTGATAGAAACTTGAGGAAAAAGTCGAGCAGCATGAAGCGTCTCTCACCTGCCCCTACCACCCAGACCTCCTACTACAGCGAATCTGTTGTCAGCGAATCCTACCTGGGCAGTGGCAGGGGGTTTTCTGTGGGGGATAGCACTGCGTATGATGATCCTCTGGATAGTGAATCCTACTGGGGTGAGTGCTTCCTCCCATGGGTTCTGGCCAAACCCCACCTTAACTCCCCATGTCCTGGAGCAATGCCTTCCTTTTGCCCTATGGATTTATTAACTGAGTCCTGGGCTTCCTCTCCAAGCTGCTTCTCCAAAGGGACCATAAACCTGCCTGAGGTGGGCAACCCCTTGGTGCAGTTGACAGGGGAACCAAGTCCTTGAAATAGCCCTAGCCTACACAGGTTGCCCATTACTCAGGTCAGTGGCTTGGAAAGTCAAGTACACACCCCACCAACAACCCTCTCTTGTTAGTGGAGCAGTCCCAGGGTGGAGGGCAGTCTGCCTTCTGAGTGGCACTTTTGAAGCAGCAGGATCATTGCAGGGCATGGGATTGGGAGGGAGGTAACGTAAATGGAATGGAGTGATTGCTGAGGTGCTTAGGGGTAGCCATCCCAAAGGTCACAGGAGCTTCTTTGCCCTGAGATGCCAGCAGCAAACCCCATTTCCCATGCTCCGGAGACTCACTGTGGGCCTCAGGAAGAGGAGTATGGGAGGCTGTTGGCTGTTTTTTCAATGGGATCCTTTGTTACTTGGATAGGCAGGGAGCTCCCGGTGAGGAGGAGAAGAGGCACAGGAGATACGGAGTCCAGTAAAATCAATGGGCTGGCAGAGACCAAGATCTACGATACCTATGCCTCTTCTTCTGGCTATTCCTCTGAAGATGACTATGCAGGTAGGTGGACGACTCTCCCCTGGAGGTGTTTGGTAGCACCAGCGGCACTGGTGGGGGAAGAGACCTCCTAGTAAAGAACTCATCTTGGCCTTGACTCCATTGCCTGGGGAGGAGATATCTCAATTCAGGCAGACAATCCTCTCTCACAGAATTGCCTCAGATCTGGCTCTGTGACTGGGAAGTAGGCTGCTCTATTCTGCCCAGCCTCACTCCAACCTGGCTCTGTGACCAGGGCAGAGAGTGATTAATATTGACTTGCTCAGGAACAGCATCTGCCCCACTGGATCCCATCAATTCCTACCCAAAGCCAGAAGGTCTCAAAGACGTGAGACTCCACTTTAGGGCTCTTCTCTTCTTCCTCCAGGTCATCAGTACACAGACCAAAGCAGCTCTAGGTCTGGCTTCAGGAGTGCAGCCTCCCAAGTGGGGTCATTTCTCTGGCTGGTGATCACTTCTCCAGGTGAGTGTGGGGCAATGGGTGTCTCCCAGCTACAGCCTTCCTCTGCACAAACTGGTTTCATGTCCACACATTCACAACATCCACTGCTTGCAGAGGTATTGTGTTATGTGCCCTTTTAAATGGAAATACCAAAAAAATCCACTGTGGATGTTTTAAAGTTAATAAACATCTGTGTACATTAGGGGGACTCAGTACCAGAACGATCAGGATTGCTGCAGGGCAGTATAGAGAGACATTGGCATGGCTGTGAATGAGTCACAAGAGTGGGACAGCAGGTGTGCTGCAGAGTATGTCTAGAGCAATGATTCTTAGCTCGGGTGAGGTGAGATTTGTTTAAGAATGCCACAAGGAGTCATGCAATATTAGCACTTGTTAGGTGTGCAAACACCTACACGTGATTCGCAAGAAAAACCCATAGCTTTCCAGTAGGAATCAAGAGCATCAAAGCCATTCTACCCGGTTGTGGTATTTCTGAGCTCTTTGCAACAGAAAAATTGCTCTGTTATTCAAATGACAAGTGAAATTAGTTTTTGAAAGGGGTTGCTACTAAATTCAGAAAAGTTAGGGAGGGCTGCTTTGAGTCTAAAAAGGTTGAAAACCACTAGTCTAGAATGTGCTTGGGTGAACTAGAGCAGATGCATCTTCCAGAGGTGGGGAGTGGAGGAGGAGGGCTAGCTGAATGCTCTGATGCCATGTGAGGTTCTTTTGCAGGCCGGATATTTGGACTGTTCTACTGGTGGATCGGAACCATGTGGTACCGCCTTACCACCATGGCTTCACTCCTGGATGTCTTTGTCCTAACAAGGTCAGTGCTGACTGGAATACAGCTCAGAGAGATATGGAAGTGGGTTGCCATGGGTCTGAACTCTGATCCAGACATGGGAGCAGGCAGGTGCACCTGGAGGAGAGGATACAGAATTCCTTCAGGGAACTCTGTGAGATAAATGTATATCAGGCCGCAGTAAAGCTCTGAGGATATAGAGCACTTTTTCTTGGGGCTGGAATGGTAAGCAGTCCCAGGCTGGGCTGTGTGGGCTGGTGTCCAAGGGGGTAATTGACTTCCAGAGACCACCTGGTTTCTCCTGCACAGCAACTGAGAAACTCACTTGGTGAGAGTGCCTGAGTAGCTGCACTAATGCCTGCTTCCTTTTTCCTCTCTGTCCAGGCGCTATTCAGCTCTGAAGAAGCTCCTTCTCCTCCTCCTGTTGCTCCTGCTCCTGGCTTCCATTGCTTATGGTGAGTCAGCCCAGACCCCAGAAATGCTCACTACCTCCAGCCCCATCTCTTCTGTCCTGGGCACAGTGCCCATAAGATCAGGGTGGCATCCTGGCTGCTCTGAGGTAACCCTGTGGTCCTGCAAGGTCACAGGAAAAGTCTCATCCCTCCATGCTGTACACAGGTATTGTTCCTTGTAGTTGCAGGTGTGGGCTTGAAGTGGTGGTTGGGAGGATTCCTTGGGTTAAGGCTAAGCTGCAAACTCAGGGGACTGGATTCATAACCCAAGAGGCACCTTCCAACCATATGTTCCTGTGTGCATGCCTAGAAGCAGGCTGTCTTTATGCCTGGGGGCTGGTCCTGGCAGGCAGGAAATGGGTCAACATAGGATGAGGATGCTGTGAGGCTGGCCCAGATCCTCTGTCAGCTTTGTACTCATTAGTCCCTGTAGGATGTGCTGAACCCACACCCTGGCTCCCAATTTTCTCAAATTGTGAGGGAGTCCTGGTGGTCCCACATGATATTGCAAGTCCTTGTCTCTAAGCAGGGTAGAATCAGACCCCCCCCTATCCAGTGTCTCTCAAGTGTGGAGCCCTGGGAAGTTTGCACTGAGAGTCCAGCATTGGCAGGGACCTCTGGTGACCATCACTGCTAAAATGGCAGTCAAAATATTGGCTCCCAGAGTGAGAGAGCTGCCCGTGTCCTATTCACTGTGCTGAAGCCACGAAGCTGGTGGTCTCTTTCTGCATGCAAATGTGAGCCAAGAGCTGGAGCCAGTCTGTCTTGGCATTTCTAACACGTCCCTTTTGGAGTCTTTGTTTTCCTGCCAACTGGTCCTTCTTTGTGATGCCAGGTACTTGGTATTTCTACCCGTTTGGGCTCCCGGTGCTCTACTCTTCCATGTCTTCCTGGGGAGCTGCAAAGATTTCAACCCCTATTGCTGGCAAAGTTGAGGTGTCTGGAGCTGGGGACCTAGCTGCGTTTGACCAGGTGGGTGACATAAGGGTCAAGAGTGCAGTGTGGAGAGAAGCTCCAGCATTTCTGGTTATCTGCATATTGACCCAGCCTTGTCCCGCCCCTCCCTCCCCCCCCCTTCCCCAAAAACCTGCCAGAAGAGTGCTGTAGACAGAGTGGATGGGAGGCTGGGTCCACATGAGAGCAGTTGCCTCTCTCCTTGTGTCCTGAAAACGAGAGAAATGGGGACAAGGGAGGTATGTGACTGTCTGGGGCTAGGTTTGTGCATCGCTGGCCCCTGTTGGAAGGAACAAACCCAAACTGTTGTTGTGCCTATTGGCAGAACATACGATGGGCTTGGTGGGCATGTGCACCACTGCCCCCTGCTGAAGCATAAGACACTCATGTGCCTTTGTCCCCCCCTGGGCTGAGCTAGGAGAGCTGCCTCAAACCCTCGGGTTGGGGTGCCCTTGGATTTGTATGTATGCTGCTGCCCCCTGGTGGAGAACGGAGGCCATCCATGCAGCTGGGACAGCAGGGGTGCAGTGCTAGGCCTGTGTTTACCACTCTTGTGTTTTGTGTTCCTTTGGCTCTGCTCTGGTGATACAAGTCGGAGCACCATATCTTGTCTCGGTTGCAAGCCCTGGAGAAACGTTTCAAGGCCCTGGAGGCTGAGGCATCACGGCTGGAGGGGATGGAGCTGCAGAGAGGGGTGGTAGCTGGAGGAGGCCTATCCCATGACGACATCCGGATGCTCTTGGAGGGGCTAGTGAGCCGTCGTGAGGCAGCGCTGAAGAAGGATTTCCACAAAGAGTTGGACCTACATGTCCAGGTAGGGGAGCCTGCTCAGAGTCTAGCCTGCCTTGTTTGCTTCATAACAACACCCCAACTGCTTCAGTCCCTCTGCTGTGTTTGTGTAGAGTCTGAGAGTATGGGGAGCTTGAGGCCACATGCTGGGGGGTTAGTTCAGGCTGGGGTGGATCATTCTGGATGGGCCATGCTAGTTCAGTGGTGGGATGAGAGAAGATGGAACATGAAGAGGGTATCTCATGAATGTGGGATGATGGGTATCATGCAGGGTGAAGTGAGGGTGCTAGCAGAGAGGTTAGGAATGGGAGTGTGTGGGAGGAGGCTGGGCACAGGGAGTGGTTGGATGGGCTAGGGTAGAGATGGCTGGAGGTGAGGCCTGTGGGTGACTGCCCAGCAGGGGTGCAGTAGTGGGATTGAAGGTGGCTGGAGTATGAGGTGAATCTCTGATCCTCCTCCCGCCTCCCTGCAGAACAAGCTGGATACCATCCAAGCCAAGTTGCAGAAGGATTTAAATGGGTACTTAGAGAAGATCACGCAAGACTCTCAGGTAAACGGGCCTTCCCCTGGGAGAGCAGAACTGGGTACACTGCACGCTTGGGGTGTTGCATCTCCCCACTGAGATGTCTCTAAGAGAACCAGGGATGGAGCACACTTTCTCCTTCACAGCCTGCAGCTAAACCACTCATGGCTCTTTGGGTCTGTTAGCTTCTGTCGGGTAAATCTGGTAGCATTAGGTTGGTCCCAGAGCTTCTCAAGGAAAAGTGTGAGGCTGTAGGAAAGGCTTAGCAGCAGTTATTGCTGAACTAATGGCCAAAAATACTGTCCCCTACTGCTGTAGGAGACACAAAGCCCAGACTCTGACCACTTGTGCTGAGTTAAGATCCTTCACAAGTTATGTAGAGGTTGCTCAGACTTTTGGCCTGATGTGTGCTAGACCAGCGTTTCTCAAACTGAAGTTCACTGACCCATGGGGGTACATTGCAGACTTCCCTCACGTGCCCTGTATGAAGGACAGGATAAGTAGGAGGTGAAAAAAGATGAATATAAATGGAGCAAAAAGAACAACTCTGCCTCATCTCCCAGGCTGTCTGAGAGGTTTCAGTGTAGTTGTAATGACAGAAAACATTGGTACTTTTCCTTGTCTGTAATGGAGCATCACAAACACTGGTACTTTTACTTGTCCGTAATGGAGCGCCACAGACCAATATAACATGCTGAAAAGGGGGAGTGTAACCCAGAGAGTACAAGCGCCATCGCAGTGCATGAATTGCATTCTGCTCCCCTAAGTGCCCCCCTTTTAGATTCCTTTGGGGGGTGAGAGATCCACCTAGTGCCCTGCAGGATGTAACATGGGTGTTGTACAGCAAGTGGGGGATAAATATGCTGAGCCAAGTCTAGACCTGCTGCCCTGAAAGTGAGCAGTTTAATAGCATGGCGTACCTTGTGGCCAATGCAGGGCAGAGCATGCTGTTTCTAGACTGTGTGCTTCATGGACTTAAATGACCCTGAATTTGGAGGCATGAGTAAGCATGCATAAGTCGGAGCCATTTCCATATTTTAAGTGGAACAGACTTATAGGGCCCATTTCCTAAGCCCAGCGATGCATGCTGTGGTCCTGGCTGGGAGTTCCTCTTGCACTGTGTTATGCATCTCGAGCATATGCAGGTGTGTGCACACAACTCTGCCTCCCTGAAAGGTGACATGTTCCAAACCAAGAGATGTCCTTTGTCAGTGTGTAATGAAGAGGCGGAACATGCTGCTGTGAGAAATCATTGGGTCTGAGAACTTAACAAAGTTTAGAAAGATGTTGGGTGCTTCTCTTGGTAACGGCTGTGATACTAGACACCGGGCCTATGGGCCAGATGTGGCCTGTGGAACCATGTCATCTGGCCAGTGGGCACTCCCCACAGGTCCAGAAATTTGGCAGCGGGGGAGTAGTGGGGCTAGAAGGTTGAGCACCACTAAATAAGGGGAACATCTAGAGTTAAAAGAAATGGTATTGTTAGGATCCAGGGAGGGGTGTGAGGATGCTGTACCTTATGCTGGCCTGTAGCCACCAGAGATTGGATTGAGACCTAGTGTTGGAGGGCAGAGGGAAGGGGGTGGTTTTTACACCCGCCTCAGGTGCTGGCTGCTATCAGAGACGGGATACAGGCTGAATGGCCATGGGACCTGATCCAGATGGGCAGGTCCTGTGTTCCTATGTACCTCTGTTCAGCCCCTCACCACATGATGGATCTCATCCTTGCACATTTGTTTCCGCATGTTGCTTCTCTTGCAGGACATGGAGGCCCGGATGCTCCAGCTGAATTCAGACTGGCAAAGGTAATCTGGAACTTCTCAAAGGGTTGCCTGTCACTTTGATGTGGTGTCTCGTGTGTGGGCTAATGGGGCTTTTAATGGAGTGAGTAATTGGCAACCTGGGTGTGGAGAGGAACATCTCTTGGGAACCCACAGGGATTCTTATGTGATCATACAGAACCTTCCTTCACCATCTGGAAAACTGGAGTCCTGTTGTGTTTTTGATATTCCTGGGGAGGGTGCATGGGGGGGTGTGTGACACTGAGATTCTGTTGTGCCCAGGAGAATAAACCTGGGCAGGAGTGAAAATGAACTGATAGAGACACTATCATCCACGAAGGGAAATGATATTGGTGGGGGCAAGGCAAACTTGAGAAACAGTGATGCTGACGGGGATGGGGCAGGAACAGAAACTAGGCAGCTGGTTGGCTGTGACTTAGAGATTCAAGAGGGGAGCTGATGCAGCTCATGTGATCTCTGGCTTCATGTCTATGGAAAAGGGAGACCTGGTCTTCCCCACTGGGACTGTGCCAAGGAAGGCTGCAACTCAGATCTGGCTTCAACGATGCCAGAAAAATGCCCTTCCTGGAGGGAGTTCAGGGAAGAGTGACAGGAGGCTGGAGTGATGGATGGATTGAAAGCAGCGTAAAGAAGCCAACTGTTGCTCAGTTCAGTAGAACTTGATAATCTACAAGCCGGTGAAGTGTGTTAACACCTGGGGGAAGGGATTGTTTAGGGGACTTTGAGGAGGTCTCACTACAACATGGGGGATGGACCTGAGCAAAGGCAATCCCTATCTGGAGATTGGAAGAGCCTTCCTATAGAGAGAGGTCTCCCAGGCTGTGGAGAAATTTCCCAAGAGAAGTGGAAGGAGTACTTGCTCTTGGGGAACATTTGGTTGGTTTGAACAAAGTCCTCCATTGGTCTGTGGGAGGGGAGGCCTGGATCTGGGTCCATAGAAAGGGTGGTAGGAGGACCCACAATGACCTCCTACTAATGCTGTGTCTTATTACTTTTCCTGGTTTGTTCTTCAGCTTAACAAAAGAGGGGCTGACGGGAAACTTCCTGCAGGAGGTGGGCAAGCTGGAGATGGAACTGGCAGGCCTGAGAAAAGAGATCAAATTTCTGACATCCGAGCAGCAGGCGGTAGTGAAGCATGTGGAGTCACTTCCAGGACAGATCAAGGGAGTGCGGGACGATGTGAGTTTCTGACCCCAGTCAGTTCCCACTGTGAAAGCCGAGTCTGACCCCTTCTCAGTGTGGCAGTGGGCATGTCTGGGGGATGCAGGCCTTTCTGGTCCAGTCCCACTATGTAACGCCTTGTCTGCACTGACCACCACTCAGTGTCCACAACCTGGACATCTTTGGATGGACTTTGGATATCTGCAGAAATGGTGGGTTCCAGCAGACCACACATTCAGGGTCCCCGCAGCTTCTTGCCCTGTGCCATTTCCCCTCCATTGGTCATTCTGCCCTGTAGGGCAGCCCCCTCACCTGACCTGAGCTTTCTCCCTTGGTGCTTTCAGGTGGAGGCGCAATTGCCCTTGTGGATCGAACAGTTCTTGTCACAGCCGAGGAAGGATGATGTGGGCAGCCTGTTCCTCCAGCGCGAGGAGCTGCAAGATCAGCTCCAAGAGATGGAACATAGAATCCTCGCCAAGATCTCTGAAGACCAGCAGATGTCTGCACAGGATGCCAGGGCCAGCGTCAGGGTTGCACTGCAACAAGGAGGAGTCATGGCAGTGACGGAGGAGGTGAGGGGCAGCCCCCTTGATAGTTCACAAGGGCAGCCTTCATGGCTTGTGGGGAGGGATGTGAATGTCTCTCACTTACATGTCACAACTGCATTGGCCTGCATCAGGGTTGTCTTTGCTGGCACAGATGCGTGGCTTAGACAGCCATCATGTGCTTTAGTGTATACACAGGCAAGTGTGTGTCTGTGTGTGCAGATACATGTACATGGCTAGGGCATGCCAGGGCATATGTGGGAGCTGGTGTATGTGTGCATATGGTTTGGGGTTGCAGGCAGTGTATATATGGTCACGCTACCACCCCAATGTGTGCTTCTGCGGGGTCACGCCCCATCCTTTCTGTGTGGACATGTACTAGGGCAGATGGGGCTACTGTAGAAAGAGGTTTGGATCAGGGTTATGGGATATCAGGCATTTCCTGCTGCCCTTTTGGTGACTTTTGTTACTGCCAAAACCTCAATAATGACATGAGTCTGGGCTGCTTTCACTGGGATCTGGTTTTGCTTGTTGCAAATCCAGAAGAAGCCCTTTTCTGAGTTCACTGAGCACTCACAGATTTTGAAAGGAAGTGAGGTGGCAGCTTCGAACATTTACAGCTTGTTCTCCAAAGCACTCAGAACTTGTAGTACTGCTGAAATCATTTGGAGCTTCAGGGATTCAGCACTGTTGATGATGAGACACTGTATAATCCTAAACTTCCCTTCAGTGAAGGCTTGGAAGGACAGGCCGTGCAGGCCTAGTGCCAAACTAGGGCTAGCAGAGCTGGGGAGAGATCCCAGACCTGCAAGGCTTTGGGCAAATAATGCTATCTGTCCTGTCTCTCCATTCCCCATCTGTAGCAAGGTACTGGTGTTCCCTTACCACTGCCCTGTTTTGTGTGTGTGTCTACCACCCTTAGCGCAATGGGAGCCAGGTCATATTCAGGGAATCTCAACACTCTGCTACTGTAACACAGTTAATGGCAAACTTTTCCTTTATTCACATTAGTTTTTAAGAGGAGTGTCTCAGAAATGTTTTCAAATAACAACCTATGAGTATTTTAAGAGGATAAAGTGAGCCAGTGGTGCTAGGATGTGGTATTTGAAGTGCCTCCTGCTGTTTCTTATGAACACATGCAAAGAGGGAAGAGAAGAGGCCAGGAGGAGATAGGAGAATACAGCCTCCATCTCATCTCCTCTCATGCCTCCAGAAAGAGCTTTTGGCACAAGACTTACAGAGCCCATCATGGCCCTGCCAGGCAGTTGGCTGGGTTGCTTTCATTTCCCCCTTACTAATCTGTGGGAGGTGGCAGGAACCTCCTTGAGACTGGGCAGGTTTTGGCTTTGCAAACTGACTCAGTTTAAGGTTGTAAAGTCAGCATTATGTTGGCCAGCTAAATCAGACTCACTTAAACAGCAAGTGGAAAGAGGTGGAAGTAAGGAGGTGGATCCAGCCTTTTTCAGAAGGAAGTAGGAGCCATAGGGTCCTGTCTTTAAGACTCAGCCATGGGGATGAGGATCTCATGTAGGTCATCGTCAGGGTGGCAGATCCAGGATTTCCCCAAGTGGGATGCAGGCGCAGCAGTCTTCACTGCAGGGGTGGTTGCACCTGCTGCTCCCAGCTTCCTGCTCTCCCACCAGTGCAGGCAGACTGCCCCTCAGGAACCTCCTGGGACCCTTTTTTAAGTCCTTAAAGCAGGTGAAATTCCCCCTCCTTTCCCCTTCCTGCTCAGAGACTCACCTTTTCTCCTACTTCTCCCCCTCCCCTGCCTGCAGCTGCTGCTCTGTCTGGGGCTGGGAAAGCGCCAAAGCCAACTAGGTTGATCAGGGGCTGGGTTCAGTTGGGGGAGGGACAGCAGCAACAGGGCAGCTGGGGAGTAGTTCCCCCCAACACCCTGCTCAGTCCCAGAGCAGGCACGCTGCCACTGTCTCCATCCCCAGCTGAACCCAGCCCCTGTGTAGGGAGTAGAAATGGCTTTTGTACTTCCCTGATCCTGGGACAGCAGGGAAAGGCAGGCAGGGGAGAGAGCATGCCTTTGAGCAGAAAAGCGAAGAGAGGGAGGTGCTTCACCTGCCTTAGGGACTTGAAAAAAGATGTAGGATCATGAGCCAAAAAGGCCATTGGAACAGCGGTATTTGTTGCTCTTGGCATGTCAAGGTAGTAACCATAGTGGTCCTGTTCTTGATGTGGTGGTGCTGGAGCTCCCTGCTGCTCTGAACAAGCTGATGGGATGTTGCTGAAGAAGAAATGCTTATGAGAATGTGGTTGCCCCAGCCCATCCCGCCTCCCCAGCCCACCAAAGACAAGAGGTGGCTGATGTCTGGGCACTGCCTTTCAGTTGAAGAAGATTCTGGTCTTCTGGCTATAGAAACAGAATGGCCTTGGCGGTCCCTTTAATTTAACAAATGCAGTTGGCATTGGTGCTGTCCTTTGAGCACCCAGCCTGAGTCTTGTACAGTGGGCATAGGGAGAAGAATGGTCTTTGCACCTTTCTTCTACTTTGCACAAGTTAAGTAGTGGTGGGAAAGTTCAAGTCAGTTGCCTTTGTGAGACAAAGGGAAATGTGCAGAAGGCCATGGCGTGCAGCGGCGGTACAAATGGGAGACCAGATGAAGGTGCAGGTATGTAAACATGTGGTAGGGGGTTGCACATGAGGGACTGCACTGATGGTATGACTGTAGTGCGTTTGCTTCCCCACCACAGTGTTGGGCATGTATGTAAAGGCTGAATCTCTGCTGGTGTGCACAGGGATATATCAGCAGAGGGGAGAGCAGGACTTTCCTGCCCTGGTATTCAGCTCCGTCACAGCCTCTGTTTGTGTTGCAGGAAGTTCATCTCATTGTGAACCGAGCCTTGAAGCGCTACAGCGAGGATCGCATTGGCATGGTTGATTATGCCCTTGAGTCCGCAGGTAAGTGAATTTGTTGCCTTATCACCTTCCTCCTGTGAGGGCCCCTGAGAAGGGAGATCACGCAGCAGATGCTACTGCTCTGTTGATCTGCAGAAGGCCTTGTAGAAGACTTCTGGTAGCTGAGCACATGGCTAAGCACCTGGATGCACTAAGAGGGAGGGTATGAGATTGTCATGGGGCAGAGAGGGGAGGAAGCGTGTGGCAGTGGCTTGTACCTGTGCCGAGAGGCATTGACAGGATGCAGCACACTTGTGTTGCAGTACAGTGTAGTTCAG